TGAGTATTATCTCCTATTTTGTAACAACGCTCGAGTTGTCAAAACTAGACAAGGTACGTGCTTTGGGTACCAATTTATCATTGGCTTGCATCTTGTTTACCACTCTTTGTAGAATGATATTTACAGAACTACCTGGATCAATCAAAAATCATTTTACATTAGTATCATGTACAAGTAAAGATATTACCAATGCATCATTGCGTGGGATCGACACACCATCAGCGTCTGCATCATCAAATGTTATACTATCTTCTTCCAAAACTTGGCGAACTCGCTTCCCGTGGGTAACCGTGATTTTTGACACCTTTTTGCTACCGTATATGTTACGTCGTTGACCTCCTCCCCTACGCTTGACGCTAAGTGTTCTTTTTGGTGATGGATGTTTTGGTGGATCCTGCCTATTCTTGATATATGCTTGCTTACCTTTCTCACTAAACAATTCGGTTAAGTAACCTTGCTTTAATAAATGCTCTACTTCACCTTGTAGTAGTCTGTAATCTGCTGTTTTGTGAGCATGATCATTGTAAAACTCGCACCTGAAATCGGGGTTTCTCCTGTTCGGGTTTAATCTCATTTCTTTTGGCCACCGCACTTTATCTCCCATGCTTCTTAAAACAACTACCAACTCAGACGTGCTAACATTGAAATTATATCCACCAATCTTTGCTTTTGAGCTCCTGTCGTTGTCTCGCGTATCTCGAGTATCTCGCTCTTTTTTGAACCTGGACGACAAACCCGAATCTCTGTCCCTTGATCTGGAATCATACCTTAGGTTTTCTTGTTTTGAACGTGAATCCCTTCTTGTTGGTCCCATATAAGGTTCGTACCTGTTCTTACCAGACCATTTTTCAGTTTTTGGCCGCGTTGAACATACTCTTTCATCTCTCCGTACCTGTTCTTAAAAGAGAATACCATGTTAGTGCTCCTTTCATGAGTGTTTCACCGAATTTTTTGACTAGCACTGATTCAATCTCTTGCTTGGTCAAGTCCTTGCCCTTTACGCCAGTTGTAAATGCAGTCACATGATCTCGGGGATCGGTTGTCCTATCGTACTTTGGGATATCGGGCATTTTAAATATCTTCGGAATAGGTAGAGGAGCGGCACTTGGCTTCCAAGGTTGTTGAGAGTATTTGTCCACTCCTTTGATTATAGGTGGAACACCAGGTGGCACTTGAGCTGTTTTTGCAAAGTTAGTACAAAACTTTGTAAATCAGAATTAACTGGGATACCTGAAAATACCGTTTTTTCATGTATATATACCAAGTAGGATCGGGCCCAAACAGTTATACCTTCTCCTACGCGAAAAGGACAAGTTTCCAGGCCTGGACGCTCGCGGTCGCGGTCCGGACGCGGTATTTGAAAAGTCTACAGTTTTGCGCATTTTTCACACTGTTCCGTTTGGAATTTGGGAAAACGTAAAACATGAAAGTTGTATCACTTTGAGTTAGCTTTCCAACCAAACATTGTGCAACCCAAATGCAGTTTTGAGAAAAAAGTTATGTGCATTTTACTAGACAGTGTGCAATATGCCTACTCGATTCTTCGTTTCGTTGCTCTATCATCCGTTGATTCCTTGGGTTTTTACTCAGACTTCAAAGCTCCAATTAGGATATTTTACCTCATGGATAGACCTAATTTTTAAAAGCTTTTGCACTTTATCCTGATACCTAGTTTTTGAAGGATCCTTGCTTCCTTATCTTTTGTTTGATAGGTGGATACGTCGGATCTTCATTCAGCTTATGGGTCATCACCTCCGGTGGTGTACCTATCATATCTGAATAGGACCAAGCAAATCAATCTGTGTTAGCTTTTAAAAACTCAATTAACTTACTTTTCATCTCTGGGCTGAGGTTGGTTGCGATTTAGACTTTTCTGTCTGGACAATATACAAACAACACCACCGCTTCCTGTTCCTCAATTGTTGTTTTGATGTTTTTGTTCTCTTCTGGTTCTTGAATAGTATCAGGCCTCGAGTCTACATCCGTTTGTCCATCTACAGTTGAGGTTTGTGTTGCTAAATCCTCAACTGAATTTTGTAATTGCTATTTTTCACCTGCAACGTCATTTTTTACGCTTGAATCTGCCACTGAATTAATGCTTCGAGAAGCATGTTGATCACCACGATTTGTCTTGTTCCCCATTGCGAAGGGAACTTGGTTACTTGATGTAAGGTAGATGGAACAGTATCCATCTCGTGAATCCAAGGTCTGCCAAGAATCATGTGTACGCCATGTCCATATCTATTAATTGAAATTTAGTATCTTTGACTACTCCTTCTGCGAATGTGGTGAGTATTATCTCCCATTTTGTAACAATGCTCGAGTTGTCAAAACCAGACAAGGTACGTGCTTTGGGTACCAATTTATCATCGGCTTGCATCTTGTTTACCACTCTTAGCAGAATGATATTTACAGAGCTACCTGGATCAATCAAAACTCATTTTACATTAGTATCATCTACAAGTAAAGATATTATCAATGCATCATTGCGTGGGATCGACACACCATCTGCGTCTGCATCATCAAATGTTATAATATCTTCTTCCAAAACTTGGCGAACTCGCTTCCCGTGGGTAACCGTGATTTTTGACACCTTTTTATTGTCGTATATGTTACGCCGTTGACCTCCTGCCCTATGCTTGACGTTAAATTTTCTTTTTGGAGATGGATGTTTTGGTGGCTCCTGCCAATTCTTCATATATGCTTGCTTACCTTTCTCACTAAACAATTCGGTTAAGTAACCTTGCTTAATAAATGCTCTACTTCACCTTGTAGTAGTCTGCAATCTGTTGTTTTTTGAGCGTGATCATTGTAAAACTCGCACCAGAAATCGGGGTTTCTTCTGTTCGGGTTTAATCTCATTTCTTTTGGCCACCGCACTTTATCTCCCATGCTTCTTAAAACAACTACCAACTCAGACGTGCTAACATTGTAATTATATCCACCAATCTTTGCTTTTGAGCTCCTGTCGTTGTCTCGCGTATCTCGCGTATCTTGCTCTTTTTCTAACCTGGACGATGAACCCGAATCTCTATCCCTTGATCTGGAATCATACCTCAGGTTTTCTTGTTTTGAACGTGACTCCCTTCATGCTGGTCCCGTATAAGGTTCATACCTGTTCTTACCAGACCATTTTTCAGTTTCTGGCCGCCTTGAACTTACTCTTTCATCTCTCCGTAACTATTCTTAAAAGAGAATACCATGTTAGTGCTCCCTTCGTAAGTGTTTCACCAAATTTTTTGACCAGCGCTACTTCAATCTCTTGCTTGGTCAAGTCGTTGCCCTTTACGTCAGTTGTAAATGTAGTCGCATGATCTCGAGGATCGGTTGTCCCATCGTACTTTGGAGTATCGGGCATTTTAAACATCTTCGGAATAGGTAGAGGAGCGACACTTGGCTTCCAAGGTTGTTGAGAGTATTTGTCCACTCCTTTGATTATGGGTGGAACACCAGGTGGCACTTGAACAGTTTTTGCAAAGTTAGTACAAAACTTTGTAAATCAGAATTAACTGGGATACCTGACCCTCCATCGCGAGATTCGCTGGGAGTTCCTCTGCTGCCCGGATTAGCTAGTCCTGAGCATGGATTCTCTATGGAAGCAGAGTTGTTTGGAGGCGGAGTTGGTGGTACAGTTGGCAACCTACTAACAAAAGCTTGAAGAGCATTGCTGACTTGTCTGCAATTAATTGGTTCAATGTTGCATCGATATCTTGATCGGCCACATGCTAGTCATTCATATGCGATTCAGATCTGTCAGGTGTCCCTTCTCGAGATTGTCGAGGAGAGTTTCGTGGTGAGGGGATTGGAGTTCCATCTCCTTGTGGATTTTTCTGATTCAACTATTGCTGATTTTGTCGGTTTTGTAGGTTTTGTTGGTTGTTGTCGTTGGCATTTGACATGATTTTTTGGCAGAAGAATGGATTTGGAAAGTGAAAAGATTATCAGATTTCCGGTAACGGAACCAATTTATTTAACCAGAAACTAGGAATTTCGGTCAAAGCCTATTTTTAGAAGTACTCGGGTTACTGATAATCAAGAAAAGGGATATTTTTGCAATAATAAAGAAAAATTAGAATATGAAATAGCAAAGTAATCAGTGTAAAGCAAAAGTAAATAATTGTATTCCAGTAGTAATCAGAACGTATCCATAAAAATGACATTTTTCTTCCTTATATAGCCATCTCTAAGTACAACGTCTTTTCCCCTTTATGATCGAGTCATTATGAGCATTTATGACATTAATGAAACGTTATAATTGGAAATCGTAACTGTTTCGTGAAGATTCTGTAACGTTTCTAATCATTCGTGCTCATTAATTGAAGACCAACGAATCTGTGGTTTTTACTGTCTTGATTCATTCCACCGGTGTCTCTTCAAATTACTATAGAGACTCGAGCAACCGTTTCTTCTCGTCTCTTAGACGTTTTGCTCGTACATATTAAGACTCACATCTTTTTAAGTACTCTTCTCCAGCTGTCACTTTTCTAATGATCCACGTGTCTTGCTATGTCGGCCACATAATTTATTCCACGTGTAATATTTATTTTCCCCAATACACTTAGTGTAATTTAATCAATTGCAGCAGAACTTAATGGATTGAATTTATATGTTTTACCTAGTCGTTTAAATCAGATTTTCATTTCACTCTACAGCGACGAGAAGTCTATCACAGTCAGTACTCAATACAGTTCTGAGGTAAGGTCAAGCCTCCCTCTTGTACTCTATTTCAGATAATATTACACCCCTAGTAAATCTGGGAAAGTTTATTTAAAAAAAGAAGTACTCAATACAGTGACATTTATGGAAATAAAAATCTTGAAGTCGAAGACAAAAGTCTGCACGTCTATATATTTTTGCAGCACCTTTATACAGCTAATTTACATTAAAACTGCGTATGATACAGAAATTACTTATAAACAGATATAATAGGAGGAGAAAAGAAGAGAAGGTGGGTGGAATGTGCAACCAAATTAAAGCATCACAAAGCGCGTAGTGGGTGTTTATACGCCTTGTTCTTCATCATTGCTCTTCATTTTTCGAAGTTTAAACGAGAATGACTGTCCTGGTGCTATTGCATGGACTGGTTTGTCAGTGACCCTGATGAAATTATAGGACCATGCCCCAAGTAATGTTCCACAAACAGGACCGATTATATACACCCATATTGCTCGGTAATCGTTGCTAGCCATTGCAGGTCCAATGGTTCTAGCTGGGTTCATTGATCCTCCTGACACCGGCCTACAACAAATCAACATTATTATTATAGGTCAGCCAATTAATTAAAGACATGGTTAATCTAGGGCATTGCCGCATGACGGGAAAAAATTATTTTTATTTAATTAACTATGATTAAGTGATAAATTTTTATATTTAAAACAATATGACACTCAAGGTCTAGTTCAAGTGGCAAATTAAAGGTTGATGAGGGACTTGTAACCCAGGACCCACTTTCGAGCCCGGCTAATTAAGTTTGGTATTTCAGATTTTCAATGCAAAATATAGCAGGGTGGGTCCATTATTCTCTAATTTCAATAGATTTGCGATTTGTTTGAAGGATGTCTATAGATGAATTTCTCGATTTAAAAAAAAAAGATAATTTTGCATGTGTCGGTGTACGTAATTTAAATTCTTTACTAATTGGATACATGTTTTTTTATCATCTAGAGCGTGAGACCAGAATATGCCACTTTCTCCTTCCACCCCTCCTTCAGAACAAGTGTGCAAGTAGTTTTTATTTTTATTTTTTTTATTTTTTTTATTATTAAGAATTTTGAAGGTTTTGTTTATCTTATCTAATTCTACCATATAACTTTTAGCTAATCCCCAATTAAGACCGCTCGTTTTCAAAAGTGTCAAACTTATGTCCAAGCGAAAAATGGGTATATTATTAGGTTTTTCATTTTTACAAACTTTGCATGGAATAGACCACCACTTACCCCGCCAAGATAGAAGTAATGCATACAGCCGAACCAACTGCCATGCCTGCCAGCTCACCGATCTATGAAAACACAAGTTCAACAAAAAGAATTATCAGAATCATGATCCGCTTGACTTTACAAATTAAAAGGACACAAATTTATTAAGAATGCGGGAAGTCATTTTTAATTCTACAGAAAATATTTTCTTTAAAAAAGTATTTTCCCGTAAATATTTTTTCCGTATTTGGTTGTTGAAACACAAAATATTTATTAAAGAAATAATAATATTTGCAAATAAAAGTGTTTTAGTAAAATTTTAGAGTACTATAGATAAATAATTATGTCGAAATTTTAGTTCGAGAAAGTAATATGAAGTTAAAAATTAAGATAGTTGTAAGGAGGAGGATGTCCGCCCATACAAAAAGGAATATATTTTCTCCCTTTTGATGATATCTTTCTGATAATTAAACACCATAAATAATTTTTTTATGAAAAATATTTTCGTAAAAAATAACTTCCGCGGTAACAAAACATAGATAATGTGATTTGCGGGATTCTTACAGCTTTGGTATCAGTGGCGACTGGGAGGTGATGAACATCATAGAGAAGGTGACCACAATTTCCATGATTAAAGCTTGAATGTCTGAGCCTGAAGGAGTTGTAGTTCCCACATGTTTTATTGGGTGAAGCAATACCCGTAGAGTGAATGCAGCCGAGGTCGCTCCTGTAAGTTGTGCTGCTGCATACGGTGGTACCTTCAAAAAAGAACCAAATTACACCTTTAGCTACTTGTAAACCAAAAAAATACTCACGTTCGATTTGTATCAAATTAATAAATGCAAGACATTCATCTTACTCGTTTCGTGTATAAATTTGTCCTCTTCTTGTTAATTGATCACGCCCAACTATGCCTTATAAAAAGGACTCTGCGGACGTTGCAAATATAACCCGAGTATTACGCCCAGGGTCGAATCCACAGAGAGTTAACCTATCAACCACTATCTTCAGACCCACTAATTCTTCAGAACCAGCTTCCCAAATATTCAAATCTCAGTTGAGTGTTCTTTAACGACTAGCTTGCAAGTAACTAAATAGCTGTAAACTAAACTAATGAGGTTGTAAACAATTATGAGGAAAAGCTAAGGCAATGATTTCCCCTATTGATGGAATCCCTTCTGTTTATGCTCATACAAATTTACCCACACATCTTTATCAATCATGAACGCTAATCTTGCCGCAAATCTCTCCCGAGTAATCACAGTAATCTACTATTGCACTCTCCCGAGATACACTAGCTTGCTTTATTTAGCACAATTCAATTTAGATTGCACCCAAGGCTTCATTATGCCTAATCCCGCCTTTAAACCCGCAATTATAGATTCCTCTAATAATTTAGGAGTGGTGTTGTTCAACAATACCCTAAATATGCACTCTTTTCCAAGTTATGCACACTAAATAGGCACAGCTAATTGAGGATCCTGTCAATTAACTACAACGAACACGAAGTTGAACAAATAAAGATTAAACTAGAAATTTGTATTCACATAAACAAGAAGTTCATCACCCAATAGGTTCCATCAACGCCTTAGACAAGGAATTTAGCTACTCATGGCTATGGGAAAATAAAACTAAAGAATTGAAATTCATCATAAAAATACAAAAAGAAAAAGAAGAAAGATGTTTAGAGTATTTTCTCACAATCTTTTTCCTTGCTAAGAAACCTAAAAAATCAATACATGCCTCTCTTGGGCGAAGTCTAATGTTTTAAATAGGGTTTAGGTCTAAAATCCCGTAATTGACACTTTG